ATTGAGAGTTCGAAAAGCACTGTTTTTATGGATATCACACTCAGTACCTTAAAGGCCACCGAGCTATCTTGAATGTATTGACGAGCGGAGAATTCCGTCAACACAATCATTTCTAGTTAATTTATTTGGGATATATTTCTAAAAATAGTGGTGGATCACTGACTCTTGTACAATTTTATATTGACTTACTTAAAACTGCCTTCGAAAAAACATCATTATTTAAAATTTTTGTGCTTTGCAGGAAAATTCAAAATTTAAAAAAATAAAATTTCCATTGAATGAAAAAAATTGTTCAAAGTATAAATGTGGTTTAAACTTCTTAATCACCTGCCGGCCTCATCGGAATTGTAGTGATTTAAAAAGAAAGAAAAATATTCTTATGACAACTCTTTTTTTTGTTTTTTTTGAAAAAATGTGTGGCTATACACATTACGGATAAATACCTGAGTTGGCTACTTTTTTGCCCGCTGGATATCACGCAAACGGGACGAATTTGAGGAATTTCAGCCACAGCATTTAATGTGTATCATTCCCTCCCCATGGTGGGTTTTTAGTGGCAACAGGACTCGAACCCACAACTCTCTGGTCACGAGTTCGTGTTGAGTTGAGTTTGGTGTTTTATGGCGAAAGAGCCAGTTTTCGCTATACTGCGCCAATTATTCACAGGTCTGTGGTCTGGACAGGAAAAGAAGAAAAGGAGATATGGGATGACAAGATGGAGGGTCGAAACTAGAGAAAGATCATTGGGGGTACTCCGGGGTCGTGACACCCGTGTTTACCAAAGATAGTAAACCCCTTGGGAAAAGGAACAGATCTTTAGGGTACCTCGGGATTGTGACATCTGTACCCACCTAAAGAAGGTGAGCCCCCTGAAGGGCATGAGTTCGTGACTGTACCTACTAGGCTACCACGTCCATGATTGAAATTTGGAGAAATGGTACATCTTCTTTGAAGATGTAAACGATCAAATTTTAAGTACATTTGAGCATGCTACGAGCGCAGGCCTTCTTTTAAATACATTACATGTGGGGATAGTGGAGGAAATAGGACATTAATAGTGCAGACAATTCAATTCGACTCCCGATATCGTGTTCATAATATCTTTTCTTAAAGGATTATGCCTCGGAGAAAACTTCGCAAGCAATTTGAGCAACTGAAGAGTTCGACACAGGTCGAATTCCTGGGTTCCTAGAAGGGGATTGGTGGGAAAGGTGGAATGCGCAGTATGTTGATTGTGCAGTAATGTTTCTAATACATGCTACGACAGAGATATATACAAGTCACATCTTAACTTCAATCAGCCTCAGAAAAGCCTAGACGAACTGAACCGAGGTAGAATCGTCTTATGTTGAGGCATGCATACACTGGTCCAACAGCCAATGTTGCGGATATCTATCTGAAAATGTACCATTTGTTGACTACTTCACTACTGCTGGAACTAAACTCTCATAGATCGTCATGATGCGTGTCTTTTTCAGCATTGAATTCATGTTAAAAGATTTGGATTGTGGTCGTAACAATTAAATGATAGGTTATTGAATGATATCCAGTTGTCTTCATCGACGAATCCAATTTTGCCTTGGTGCAGACGATAATCGAATCCATGAGTGCAGACAACATGGTCAGCGCCATGGTCTAAAATTCTTTGAGTTATGTCACAAATCTAGGGAGTCTGGTGTCGGCGTGGAGCTTCAATTGAGTATTATTAAATCACCTTTGGTGCTCCTTGTGTTCCGTTTGATGGATCAGCACTCCATTCAAGAGATTCTGCCAGCTCGTTTCAACTCCAATCTCGAACTAGTTTCCTTCAACTATCCAACAATACAGTACTCGACTACGTATTGCTGCCATCTCTAGAGCTCATTTACAACATGACTATAAGTAACTATGACCGGCATTTTCATCAGACCTATCGCTAATAAAGAATGTATGGTATGCAATGACACAAGAAATCACTCCTCCACTCATCTCAGGTATTCTACAGGAAGTACCTGTTAAAACTTAACAGGGTAACAGTCGCTAGGTTTCATTAAGAATTTCTACGATTCACTACATTTATGTGTAATTCACTGTAAATTTCATTATTTGTGACAATTCCTTTCAAATGCTACTTTATTTTGTCTTATTGCATTCAGCAATTAAATATAATTACCTAAAGTTTCAGTAAATGTGTTACGTAATAGGCGAGAGATTAATTTATATAATGCGAATCACATGAGGAAAAAAATATACATTCATAAACCTCTAGTACCTATATTTAGGATACTCAAGTAGTTTTGCTAACAAATGCATCCTTATTTTGCATCTAGTTTTATGTTACGTTACAAGCAAGTACGAAAAATTAAAAAAAAAAAAAAATGTCTGGGTAGTGATGTTGCAAAATATAAATATTTAACTCCCCATTTGTGTAAATCTCTTTGAAAAAATAGTGCATATGCAAAATATAGTATTAAATAACTCGATTTGTGATGCAGGTGTAGCTTTAAATGTCAAAGGGCAGAAAGATCGAAATTGCGTTTTAAAAACTCTTTTGAGTCTTGGAATTTTGAAAAAAAAATATTGATTCACATTCATAAAATTGAGCAGCGTAGAATAAAAAGCAGCAAATAGGATTGAAAATTGATGAATCAATTATAAATTTGGAATTACAAGAGACATTTAAAGCATATTAATTTGAAAATACCGTTATAAGCTAATACGAAATTAAATAGCTATTTAATATGGAATTAAATACTTATATAAATTAATGTACTATTAAATACTGAGATACATTAATAGATTAAACATATTTTGATATATTAATATTAAATACTTGATACGATAATTAATTTCTATGTCTTATTAAGAAGGCTTAACTTCGCGAGTGATTTTAAATAATTCTAAAATATTACATTTCTAAATGAAGTCTTGAAATAGATATGTTTAAGGATAGAATATTTAAAGGTCATTTAAAATATTTTTGAATGTTTCATATTTTAGCTACATTATAATAACTAAATTAAATATTAAATCGTATAGTAATGTGGTAGGATATATTTAAATGTACAGATGTAATAAAAGAAAACTGAATTTATGGTAAATATCGGAGCAATTATTTTCACAAAAGGAGATTGTTTCATAAATATAGTATAAGAAAAGGGAATTTTTCTAAATAATTTTTCAAGTATCTTTTTCTTTAAGAAGTATCACTGAAACAGAAAAATGTTATAACACAAGATGATTCAAAACTACTACGTGGACTGAAATTCTGTTATTATTTACCCTCAAGAACTTCGATATTTAATGAATTATATTGAATATTCTTATTCAATATAAATCATAAAAAATGAAAACACTCTAGGTGAAATTATATTCAGAAATACGGTGTTGTGGAAAATAACTATAAAATTGATTAGGAAACATTTTAAAATTCTTATGATACTTATCATGGGCTCAATTTAAATTAATACAGGGACTCATCTTCCAATTTTAAACTTAGTGCAGGGTTCTTCAACGTTCTAATGCTTTTCCTTAAAACTCTTTTGAATTGTAAAGGTTTATGTTGACACTAGTAAGTAAATGTCAATTCATTTCTATGTTGAAAAACTGTTAAATCGAAAAAACATACCTTGTGGTTCTAACACAAGATGCATTGATCCGTATAGAATACAGGGGAAAAAGGTACTGCTTCAAAATCAAAATCTAATCATTGTATGCATTCGCAATCAGCTCTAAAACAAAACTGCATTCGGGAGTAAATTTTCTCCCGCCCAGAAGGCAAAATCGAACCATTCTGACTTTCACCAACTACGGCCTTGAAGCCCGAACACGGGACCACTAATACTCATCTGGGCATTGAACACAAATATTGCTCGCTTTCTCTTTTATAACAAAACTTCAGCATTAACATAAAACTAGTAGTTGAAAACATATATATTCTATACTCTTCCGTACGTTCTTATAATAAAAAATACTGTATTTAGAGATCAACCCGATTATAAAAGCAAAACACTTTGGTCTAATATTACGCTTGTCTAAATTGAAATATTTCTCAAACTGCTGGTATAAAAATGGGATGCTGTTTCCTTCATAAATAATGAATGTGGGAAAAACAACTTCATCAGGAATTAATGAGATAAATTCGAAAAGCATGAAAAAAATTTATTCGCGTAATGTTGTTCCAATTTCCAACATAAAATGTTAACGTATTTTTCCCTCAATTTTTATAAAGCTCCGCTATGATTCACTGTCGATTCACTTCTAAGTAAAACGCCTTTTAATAGGAATGGTGAATCATTAATACACAGGAAAAAATGCCTCTTTGAATTCTAAAACAGTTTGACGCATAGTTTTTGGGCATAAAGGTACTGTGTCTACAGCAAAACAAGTACATTATGTTTTCAAAATCAGATAAAAATATAAAAAAAACATCCCTAAAAGTAATTCTTCACGCCCAGAAGGTGGAATCGAACCACTCTGACTCTCGTCAGCTACGGGTTTGAAGCCCGCACACCGGACCACCGATGCTCATCTGGGCATTGAACAGACATTGCTCGCTTTCTTTTATAACAAACCTACAACATTAACATAAAAATAGTGGTTAAAAACATTTTCCGTACTTTCTAATAAAAAATACTGTATTTAGAGATCGACCCGATTATAAAAGTAAAGTACTTTGGTCTAATATTGTGCTTGTCTAAATTGAAATATTTCTCAAACTGCTGGTATAAAAATGGGATGCTGTTTCCTTCATAAATAATGAATGTGGGAAAACAACTTCATCAGGAATTAATGAGATAAATTCGAAAAGCATGAAAAAAATTTATTCGCGTAATGTTGTTCCAATTTCCAACATAAAATGTTAACGTATTTTTCCCTCAATTTTTATAAAGCTCCGCATTGATTCACTGTCGATTCACTTTTAAGTAAAACGCCTTTTAATAGGAATGGTGAATCATTAATACAGAGGAAAAAATGCCTCTTTGAATTCTAATACAGTTTGACGCATAGTTTTTGGGCATAAAGGTACTGTTTCTACAGCAAAACAAATACATTATGTTTTCGAAATCAAATAAAAAAAAACACCCCTAAAAGTATTTATTCATGCCCAGAAGGTAGAGTCGAAACATTCTGACTTTCGTCAGCTACGGGTTTGAAGCCCGCACACCGGACCACATCGATGCTCATCTGGACATAGAGTTACTTTTGTTATTTTCCATTTATAACAAAACTTCAACAATCATTTCAAAATATAGTGGTTCAAACATATTTTAAAACTTTCCAAATATTGACATAGAAAATGCAATTTTTTAAAGAAAGTAACACACATATGTTAATGTAAAATATTTTTGTCTAACCTTACCCTTGCCAATGATTTGGTAATTTTCCTCAAACTGTTTGTACAGAAAGTAAGATCTTGTATCCTTCATCAAATAATATGAAAAAAAATCCTTTTCTATATTTTATGGTCAATTTATAAATCCTAAAGTTAAATTGCAGCGTATTCTCGCATTGTTGCTTCAACACTTACAATATAAAAAACTTTTAAAAATATTTTTAAATAATCCTTATTTAAAAAAAGTTTTCTGTGTTAGTACATTGACAACTTTCGGGGAATAAAAAGCATTAAAATAATTCTAGAATGTTTCATAAGCATTTGCATTATTTGAAGAGAAAGAACATCCAGAAATAAACAATTCCATTGTAACAATAAAAATTGAACCAGTAAAAAAAAAAAAAAAAAAAAAAATAGCATCCACTAAAATCTTCCCTTTTTTTCGAAGTATATATATATCTACAGTGGTAGCCAAAACTGTGGACACTTTTAAAATGCTTTTGTTTTTTAGGTTATATGTTTATATAGAAAATTTTACGTTGCACAAAATACAAAGTATTTTATATCATTTTAAAGTGAATGTTATACAACAATATTACTCGCTTTCTTTTATAAAAAAGCTTCAGTATTAACTTAAAAATTGTGGTTGAAAGCATATTCTGAACCCTTCTGTATGTTTAAAATTGCGGTTTTTAGAGATCAACCCGATTATAAAAGTAAAATGTTTTGATACAATGTTGCGCTTGTCTGAATTTAAATACTTCTCAAACTGTTGGACTGTCATGTTTCATTTCAATGTTAAGTGGTCTCAGGAGTGTTAGTGGTTGCGGCAGCTTAGTGGTCAAGGTATCGGATCGTGGCTGGCTTCTCTTGAGTTCGATCCAAGTACCTCTAAAGACCCGCCGTGTGGGGAAGCGATGCACTTTAAATCTGTCGAGAGCTCAACCGTCCTCCCATTTGTGTGGTAGTTAGGAGAGAGGGGTGCCAGCTTGGATGTCGTTTTCGTCATACTTGACCATGGTTCAAAATTACGAGGTCCGATGCTAAAAGCCTTCGTGTAGCTGAACACAGTGCGAATATAATATTCATTCAGGAATTGTGAACATTTCTCGTGAAGGTATATATATAATATAATTTCAAATATATATAATTCTTTTAAATTAAAACTAAATAGCTTGAATCTTTTACACACATTATTTACAAAGGAATAAGGCTTTAAAAATAATTATAAGCATATGTGAAAATAAGAGACATTTTTCTGTAAGAGATTTATTGTTTTACGTTGCGCATAATATTTTCTGAAATATTAGCTCTAATTATTAGCAATAAGATGATTTATAAAGTTAAATATATCCTTATTACACTGCAGATATTTTTTATATAAATAGAATAATAAATTAAATTTTTTAAAATAAAAAAAAATTACACTAATTTTTTAAAAAATTTCGAAATTTTACAAATAATTTGAAATAAAAAGATATAAAATACTAAAATTAGGTAGGATTTATATAAAGAGTATGATGCATTTTATAATTCTACAAAGTTTTATACATCAAAAGCTACTATTTCAGAAAAACGCATGAGCAACATTAAAATTATTTAATATTTATTACAGATATGTTTCTTTTATTTTCATGTGCTTATATTTTTTAAAATTAAGATTATACTTTAAACATTTTGTATTTTTTTGAAACTTTATCCCTTTATAAATAATGTGTAAAATATTCGCATTATTTAATTTTAATTTTGAAAATTGTTTATATTTTCAGCCCTCGAGACAAAATGAACATTCCTGACGCATCTTAATAGAAATGAATAATCATTAACAGACAGGGGAAAAAATGCATCTTAGGAATCTAACACAAGTTGACGCGTAGTTTATGGGCATAAAGAAAAAGTTATTTTTTCCACAAAGCAAAACAGAAACATTCTGGGTTTTACGAATAAGATAAAAAAAAAAATCCTTAAAGAATTTGCTCACTCCCTAGTGTGGAATCGAACCACTCTGACTCTAGTCAGCTACGGGTTTGAAGCCCGCACATCGGACCACCGATGCTCATTTTGGCATAGAGCACCTGTAACTTTCTACTTATAAAAAGGCTTCAACATTACCTAAAAAATAGTGGTTGTCAACACACGTTGAATCTTTCCAAATACTTGCTGAGTGAGTGTTTATTAAGGTATCCGACTACGTTCGGAACCGTGATTTTAAAAAAAGCGCATAAATGGATAATTTTCATGATATTTAGTGTCAGATTCCAATACATGTATAAAATTGTTTTCAGAACATTTTGACAAAAAAAAAAATTATATTTAAACACAATATTTCGGCAAAAAATTAACTTAGAATAACCTTTTTTCAAAATGTTTTCCTTTTGTGAAAAATACTTCTAATATAATAATATTTTGCTTGTATATAGCTTAGACCTCTGTACAGAGGCTCAACTATGCTTTTGAAAAATTCACATTATTTTATCGGCGTTTTTTTCTTAAAATTTCTCCCCTCTGTTGTGGTAAAATATGGATAAACCCACTTCTAAGTTACATATTTCAAAAATTCTAATTGAACCTCTGTACAGAGTCTTAGCTATACACAGGCAAAAATTATCATAATAGAAGCATTTTTCACAAAAGGAGAATATTTTGAAAATGGGTCATTCTATGTTCATTTTTTGTCCACATATTGTACTTAAATAATTTTTTATTATAATACTATTCTTAAAACAATTTTATATACATTTTCTAATCTAAGTGACACCAAATATCATAAATATTATCCATTTATACGCTTTGGCAAAAGCACGGTTCCGAACGTAGTCGGATATCTTAATGTCTCATTTAAAGCGACTCGAAAGCTATTGGTGAAGGACTTAGTAATTTTGAACCAAGTTCAAGTGAGACTAGGACGAGGCCTGAGTTCTCAACTTTATCTCCACAATTTCACACCACGCGAACGGATTGACTTTAAAGCTTGACAGATTTAAAGTGTATAAGTTCCTCTAAGTAGAGGGTCTTCAGTGGCACTTAGTCTTGTGGACCCGTGGCTCGAAAGTTTTGCTAACGAGTTCGCGACCAGAACGCATTCCACGTTTATACTATTTTTGTAGAAGCTATAGCAAAACATTTAAAAAATTACCCCCAATGGCAGTTCTCAAGCTCTACACATTAATGAGTGTGTGCTTTTTTTACAATTTTGATATAGTCTGTGTAGTATATATATATATATATATATA